AGAGAAGATGGCTTTCGCACTTGCATCTTTATGTAGGAGTACATCGTTAGTCATACTTAGCACTTACTACACATTGTTCATTCAGTTGAATGAAGATATTCAAAACAAGAATGTTGCATAACCTGTAAGTTGATGTTTGAAGGCTCTGAACCTTATTTGCCATGTTCTGTTTCCAAGAACAGATAGGGTTCACCTTGTTATGGTCTGCCAATTTTTGTGTATATTGCTTCCAAACTGCAAAATGAGCAGCAGGTGCACCTTTCTTCTTAAGCTATGTTGTACTCTGTGGTTTAGCACATGGGTCCTTCCTAAGAAATTGGGATAGGGAAATTTCCCATTGCATCAACTGCAGTTGCTTCAGTTTTCTAACTAAATGCATTTATGCAGATCTGAGCTTGCTTGCTAGTCGTTTTGGTCTTGCTTGGGCGATCTACACCTGGGGTTGGATGGCGGATGTTCAAGATTGTGCTGATGTGGTTTGATATGTCTGCATTAGTATGATTGTAAGCAGGATATGCTGTCAGCAAGTTGAGTTTGACCAACAGTGAGGTCTAAGACTCCGGTTTATATTATGTACTGATGTTTGTGCTGGAAGACTTCGGTTTATGTCCCCCCTTTTAATCCATATCCTTAGTCTAGAACTCTAGATGAACACTGAATGTAAGCAGGATATGCTGTCAGCAAGTTGATGCTTTTATCTGCATGAGTGAATGAATTTGTTAATTTCTCTGATTAGGATGCTTCTGATGAGTTCATCTGTAGCCCCGCAATTTCTGGATGTTTTGCGCAAATGATGGCTGGCTGTAATAGAGATGGATATCATACAAGCATCAATTTTCCGAGCTTCAGGTTTTTCACAAAATTGTTGTCAAATTTGAGTTGAGAGCATCAGGTCCTCTATCAATATTCTTGGAAATTCCAGAAACCTTCCTTTCCATGTTCAAAAGGCTGAAAACAGGAGCCATAAAAAGGCGCCTGATACACCCATGAATTTACCAGCTATTCTACCTTGACCACCATTACAATACGCCCACAAATTTGCCAGCTATTCTAAATTTTTCCAGACTTTTCTAGCAACTTATACAAACTTATCTACTAGCACCTAGCTCACCAGATGTGGTTCCTGGTTCCTGTTGTGTGCCATCATTGGTCCGCAAAAATATTCATACTGAACCACAAAGTCCAAAGTATAATGTGCACAGAGTGTTCACAGCTTTCAGCCTTAAATAGATCATAGAGGATTCACAGAGCTTAAATAGATCATAGAGCATTCACAGCTGCTGTGTTCAATGAAGTTATTTTTTCCACAACTATTATCCACACCACATGCAGGAGGAAAGACTATTCTTCCCTCGATGTGGCTCCCAAGTTTGAAACTTCAATCTAGTACTCTGATTCCCCTCCTAGGATGGGATGCAGGACACACACTGTTTTTTTTTTGCCCAGACACAAATTTTCCAACAAAAGGTATGTTGCAAAGATTTGTTATCCACCTTGTATATACTACTCCCTCCATCCCATAATGTGAGACGTTTTCCCTCCGTCCCATAATGTGAGACGTTTCCATAATGTAAACGTCTTACATTATGGGACGGAGGGAGTAGCTAATTGTCTATGGCATGCAACGGTGACATACATATTCTAGTGGTTCAACATCGACCGTGTCCGACATATACCTCACACCCATCTTATTCTAGATTTTGGTAAGATTTTCTTTGGTTTGAGCGTGGATAAGGGAAGGCAAAGAAATTTGGATTTATTAGTTTTTGGTAACATTTGATTTGATTTGTGCAATAATCCTAGATGCACAGAGCAACATACATTTTGATTTTATTTGGTCTGCTTGCTGCCACCATCATCACCTCCATCTTGATAATTCTTCGTCCCTCTTGGAGGCATGGGTTCTGCAGCTAAGTTAGTATTTGTATGTGGATAGATGTAGTATAAGTTGGGAACTTATGACTAGTACATGAAAATTTCCAGGGGTATTGTTGTGAGGTGGATGTGGAGTACCAAAATGAGTTGGTCAATTTCTGAGCACATATGGATGCCCTGTATTTGTGAGTTCGGTGCAATTTTTCTTATCTACTCCTAATCTGGTACCCAAGCAAGTAACTTTTCCCAAGTGTGGTTTCTGAATCTCTGAATCTGAACTGTCCTGTAATCCCTTCCTTCCAGTTTCGGTTGCTTTTCATCAAAATACTGACAAATTATGTTTGAGGCTTGGCAATGGTATTGTTGATGGCCTGATAGGCATCGGGGAAGGTACCTTTACAAGCTTATTTGATGGTATCGATCTATTGTAAGTCTGTCAGTGACATATTCATGGTATGGGAATTGCTGTGAAGTGGACGAGCATGCTATTTTGTGGAGTAACAAAACGAGTTAGTGCTGTCCATTCACTCGAGCTCAATGCATTTATGTTTACCTATTCGAAAATCTTGTACGGTAGCGAGTAACTTTTCCCAAGTTTATAGAGAACTAGATCATACCCCGTGCGTTGCTGCGGGATTAGATGAATGAAATGGAAATATGACTTCAATGTTGATCAAATGCATTTAAGTTTGTGGTGTTGATGATGTTAGATATCCAATGGGATATTCATATTTACATTGACAATGTTGAACAAATAGACATGTGCACACACATAAAGAGATTTATCACTAATGTGTAGGGATTCCGTTCTTCAGTATTTAGGTTGGCTTGCAAGAGCACTGAAATAATTATCCTCTATGTAATCATAGGTTACAGCAGGTTGTTTAAGGCGCTTATATTTTTTTTTCATATGCACTGTAGTTTATATCAATAACTGAACCAAGATATGTTGTACTCAGGTTTCTGCTGAAACTTCAATCACAACTTATAATTAATTAAATACTGAAGTGATCTAGGAAATGAACTGAATGGTGTTTATTTACCAAATTATTTATCAAAAAAAGTACTACACCTCAGATCAATGACACAGAAAAAATATCAAAAGCTCCAACATTTCCAACAGCTAGAAAATCAAGAGCGAACTATGCCACAGAAGCAAATATGGTAGCGGTGACGAACAGGGAGCTGCTGAATCCTTCTTTTAGGCCGATGGTGACAGCCTATATATATACCTAAATTGCCATCTTATCACTTTGAATTGTAGCATGCTTAATTTGGACATCTACCGCACAATCGAGAAAGTTCAAGGGGCTGATAAAAATATCCTTTGATGGAAAGTATATGTCTCACATTGAACTGCTTTCTTCAGAACTACATATCAAACTCTTATGGCCATTGTGTTAAAAAATAAATCTTATGGTCATTATATGTTTACCCCATAAGGTACCATGTTCCTGGTTCGTCTGAATTTGACAGACTGGTGTAAGCACATTATTCCCCGCTTTTCACACCTGCAGGAAACTACAAATATGATGTCAATGTTGGCCCATAATGCACCTTGAGGTAATGAGATGGCTTGTGCCGGGGATTTGGTGTTCTTCTCCCCTTTACAATTGAGGGGGGGGGGAGGGGGCCTTGAAAAGGGGAATTTGGTATTGGAGCTAGCTATCCTGAGAGACTACTTTAGTAATCTAAACACTCTTATATTTCTTTACAGAGGGAGTACAAAATATACAAGTAGCTGTCAAGACATGCTATATCACAAAAATCTATTGCAAATTTTCCTTCTTCCAGGCGTGTTGTTGTACTATATGAAATCCTCATGTTCACTTAAATATCGATGTGTTGCAGACCATTGTTTTCGCCATTGATCAGTAGCACTGAAATACAGTCCCCCAAATGATTAATGAGTAACTTGTCCAAGTCAACAAATCAGTCACTATGCAATGGTTCATCTAAACTGTCCTATCGTAAATCCCTTCCTTCTTGTATCGATTGCTTTTCGTTGGAATATTCATTGGCTACTGACTAACTAAATATGTTTATTGCAATATCAATGAATTACAAATACAAAAAATCATTTAAGTGAAAAAGAATACTATGCAATAATCTACTAAAAATGGATATTCTCAAATAATACTAAGAAAATAGTATTGATTTCTATTTATTTTAATATGTGCGCCTTTGTTTAGAGGATTCTATGTCTAATTATTCAAAAGTCCTTGATGCAGTTGCGAAATCCGCACAATTCCCTCTTCACGTATGGTTACTCGATGCTATGGAAGGACCCACTCCTATTTCGGCTCTTATACACGCAACAATTATGGTTGCTGCGGGAATTTTTCTTCTAGCTCGACTTCTTCCTCTTTTCATATCTTTACCTTTGATAATGAGTTTTGTGCCCAGGCAACGGCATTTGTGGTGGGCATGGTGAAGACGAAGCATTGGACGATATATAAGATGGTTTATTCGTTGCTGGTTGCTAT